AATTATTTCTAAAGGATCATGTGACACTGAAGACTGGAGTAATGTAAAATAAAAAATTAATATACATATTAAAATAGAAAACAATCATTTAAACTATTATTATTATTATATTTCATAATATTGTAATAATATTTCAGAATATTACTATTTTTACTGTATTTTTGATCAAATACATGCAGCATTCTTTCAAAAACATTCAAAAATCTTACTGATCTCAAACTTCTGAATGGTAGTTCATTCATTTTTGTACTGCACATAACTGACATAATTGATATAAAAACTCACTGAAGGCAAGCCAGGTCTGCTGAATCTGTAAGTACACAGAGAAGTCAGTCTGTAGTCCCAGATCCTTGATAGTGACGTCAGAACCGGCCTGTCCTTTCAGACTGGCGTACTGCATGTAACAATGGAAAATACCTGAGGAGAATCAGGAGAGGGGATAAACATGAATTAAATATTTACAATTACCATTAAATATTACACTATTTTGTGTCATACAGTAAAATATGACATTACTACAATACAGAATTGGAAATCGAATGAAAATCATCAATGATGATAATGAGAGTCTTAATGTCACAATGCTTAATGTTCCTAAAAACAGGCTTCAATTTCTTGAAGCAAAATATTTTTTAAATGTATTTTCTCTTTAAGGGTATTACTATAAATGTGTTAAGGTTAAACAGCACATGTAGACACAGTGTTTTTTGAGAGCTGTAGACAAGACAAGAACCCTTACCGTATCCAATAACAATGATGACCATGATGATCATAACCCAGACCATGACTCCAGCCAGACAACGCAAGAGTAGAATAAAGATCAGACTGACCAGCATGGCGATCACCAAGCCACTGAAAAAGACCGCACAGAGATTTGACCAATGCTAGTGCAATTAATCTAGTAAACATTAGAACTCACTAACACTAAATCTGACTGCCATAAACAAAAACACTGAATAGAGGGAATAAAATGAACCTAGAATTTCACACGCTTACAGGAGTATCCAGTGCCAGGACTGAGTATAGTCCTCAAAGATCCTCATGGCTACCGCCCGAGCCTCAACTACAGCATTGGATTTCCTGCAAAAATCAAAAATATGTATTAATTATAATCAATGTGATTATATTTCAATATGATTCACATAATATTTTATATAATATTATCTAACACAATAATATTATATTCAGCGTTATTATATTACATTATATAATATTATTATATTATCGTCACCTGAAATGAAATGCATTAAAAATTTAGCATTTCAGTTAGTTGCCAAATTAAGCTAGTTTAAAATGAATAAAAATGAATATAAAGTATACAGACATAAAAATAAACTGACAAAAACACTCAACAAAATTACTATAACTAAAATTAAAATGAAAGCCGAAAATGTCAAAATAAAAACTAATTAAAAATATTAAATATTATAATAGCATCTCGGTCACACTTAGTTTTGGGACCAATTATCACTATAAACTTTATTTTACTTCTAATTTGCTGCTTATTAATAGTTAGTAGGGTAGTTGTTATGTTTAGGTATGGGGTAGGATTAAGGGATGTAGAATATGTTCATGCAGAATAAGGCATTCATATGTGTTTTATGAGTACTAATAAACAGTCAATATGCTAGTAATATGCATGCTAATAA